TTTTTTCCTTTTTTTTTTTTCTTTCCTTTTTAAGGGGCAAAGAGGAGATAACGAATATTTTTTTTTTTCTTGTTTTTCTTTTCTTTTTCTTTTTTTTTTTTTTTTTTTTTTTTTTTTTACAAAGAATTCTAATAATACACCATCGAATATTTTCAAATAGTTTTAGAAATAGATTGTCGAAGGAAGAAGCATGATAATCCGGCTTTGCTTCCTTAGAAGCATGCAGTTAAACGAAAGCATTCTGATCCGCCTGATCTCCGATTAAAGGGACAGAGAAAAAAAAAAGAGAGAGAGAGAGAGAGAGAGAGAGAGAGAGAGAGAGAGAGAGAGAGAGAGAGAGAGAAATAAAGAGTAAGTCGGCGATCGTTTGCAGCAACAGCAGTATTTAATTATGAGCCTTATAATTATCTCGCTTCGTAAGAGTTTATCATGGTATCTTATTCTCTCTCTCTCTTTCTCTCTCTCTCTCTCTCTCTCTCTGCACAAAGTTCAGGAGCGTAACCCTTCCTCGCCAATTTCCGCATAGGCTTTGCGTAAATAATAAAATCAACGTTGAAGATCGAAGAAGAGAGAAGGAGGAGGCGTGTAAGCACGGCGTGCCATAGAAGCAACGAGCGTGAAAACGTCGTCCCGTACGTGCCGATTAGTCTTCTACCAATAGCCTATCGTATTAACGGTACTTAATTAAGATCGTAGAATATCATCGAACATCTTGTTTCTCACGTCTTCTTCTTAGATTTTGTTTTCTTTGATTTAAAAGGAAATATTCTTTTTATTTCGAGAAATAAAAAAAAAGGCGTAGATATTAAAAATTCGTTGATATTAAAGAAAAAAGACAAAAAAACGAAAAAAAGAAAAAGAAAAAGAAAAAGAAAAAGAAAAAGAAAAAGAAAAAGAAAAAGAAAAAGAAAAAAGAAAAAAGAAAAAAGAAAAAAGAAAAGAGAAAAAAGAAAAATATAAACGAAAGTAAGAAAACATTATTATTATTATTATTACATATTATTATTATTATTATTATTATTATTATTATTATTATTATTATTATTATTATTATTACACATTATTATTATTATTATTATTATTATTATTATTATTATTATTATTATTATTATTATTATTACACATTATTATTATTATTATTATTATTACACATTATTATTATTATTATTATTATTACACATTATTATTATTATTATTATTATTATTATTATTATTATTATTATTATTATTATTATTATTATTATTATTATTACACATTATTATTATTATTATTATTATTATTATTATTATTATTATTATTATTATTATTATTACACATTATTATTATTATTATTATTATTACACATTATTATTATTATTATTATTATTACACATTATTATTATTATTATTATTATTATTATTATTATTATTATTATTATTATTATTATTATTATTATTATTATTATTATTAGACATTATTATTATTACACATTATTATTATACGTGATATCTATCTATCTCAGAATGATTATACAAGTATAAGCGAGCAAACGAAACGAAACGTAGAAAAGAGCGAACGAATGAACGAACGACCGAACGGACGAACGAACGAACGAACGAACGAACGAACGAACGAACGAACGAACGCGTTGCCCGAACGGTGTTTCAATCTCCATAATGACCGCTCTTCTCTCGCGGCGTGGCTATACAGCAAGAGACAGAGTGGATGCTAATAACAGAGAAACTCTATAGTGTCCGTAGGCACCGCTCATTCAGAGATACTTCTTTTGCATCTACGTTTGTTCGCCAACGTCGAGCGAGAAAGAGTAAAAGAGAAAGAAAGAGGAAGAGGGTAAAAGTGGAGGATGAGTGGTAAGGGTAAAAGAGAAAGAGAAAGAGAAAGAGAAATAGAGAAAGAGAAAGAGAGAGACAGAGAGAGAGAGAGAGAGAGAGAGAGAGAGAGAGTGAGACAGAAATAGAAAGAGAGAGAAGAGAGCGCGAAAGTCGAGTATTCAATGGGCCGTGTCATCGTGCGAAGGTACATACGTAATACTCGAGAAAAGCGGTAGAAAGGGTGGTACGAAGAGCAAAGGAGAGAGACAGAGAGAGAAAGAGAGAGAGAGAGAGAGAGAAAGAGAGAAAGAGGAAAAGAGAAAACGCGTACACGCGGTAGATGAACAATGGAGTACTGGCACGACGCAACACCGATATATCCCTCATAGTCCTCTTCTATTCTCTCTTTCTCTCTCTCTCTCTCTCTCTCTCTCTCTCTCTCTTTAGTATCTATCCATCTTTCTTTTGCTCATCTACCTTTCTCTCACTCGGTCCACCCTTTCTCTCCCTCTATTCGCTTTCCCGGACAACTCTTACGGGTTATATTTTAAGCGTTTGTAAAACTTGGTAATAAACGGGGTAGTTCCCGAGGGCCGAGTAGCACACGAAGCATCGTTGGATATCCCTAAAGGCCGCCCACCGACACCACAACATAACCAGTACAATCACCATGAGCACTACTATCAACGACGACGATGACGACGACGACGACGACGACGACGAGACACACGCTGGCGCGCGCATGTCAGAGAGTAGTAGTAGATGTACAGAAAGAAACAGAGAAAAAGAAAGAGAGACAGAGAGAGAGAGAGAGAGAAAGAGAGAGAGAAAAAACAGAAAGAGAGGGTTGGGCTAAGTCCGTGCCACCGGGGGCCGGGGCCACAATTACACAGAGTGCGCTGTCGACGAAGCCCTTTCAGCCTCTCCTCCTGGAGATGATGGATTTGTTGTCTTCCTGGGACTCTCTGGCACATTGTAAGCCCACCGGACTGTACACCATCGCGGGCGCAAAATAGAGAGAGGGTGTGTTCACCATCTTTCTTTTTCTCTTTCCTTGTCTGTGTGTATATGTGTACCTAAAAGAGAGAGAGAGAGAGAGAGAGAGAGAGCAAATGTGTGCGTGTGTATTTGTGTGTCGCAAGTTCACACATACATACAGAGACATACACATACACGTAAGAAACGGTTCGGACTTTAGCCAATGTGTTCGTGGCCGACGTTGACGATCACACGGCCGTATGAAAAAGAAAAAGAATATCGCGGTCTCAAAGAGAGAAAGACGAAATATCGTGGATGGAAAAACACGAGGGGTTCTTTCCTCTCTATTACGATCTCTCTTCTTAGATGTCTCTATTTCTATATATTTTTCTTTTTTTTTGGTTTTTTTTTTTTTTTTATTTTTTTGTTTTGTTTTTTTTTGTTTCGTTTTGTTTCTTCTTTCCTTCCTCTTTTTTCTCATTTTCCTTTTTGTCTTCTACTTTTCCCTTGTGTTCTCTTTCAGGAAAGAAGTCACTCGTCGTAAGAAGGAAAACGAATCCAACGATATTCAGATAAAAGGAGTCTACTTTGGTTTTTTAAAGAGGTCACCAACTGTTAGACGTATAAATTCCATGTTGAAGCATAAGAAATTATCCGATTGAAAAAACACTCCATCCCCAAGTGGAACTAGAACATTGTTTTAATAGAAAGCAAGCTTATGACGTCACGTACCTTTGTCGCAAACCTTTTAACTCGTATTTAACTGATTCACACATAATCCCTCCCTCTTTCCCTCTCTCTCTCTCTCTTTCTCTCGAGATTCATCCTCGTGCTTCCTATTGTCTTCAACAAATTGACGGAAATATTTTGGTTTCATCTTCTTCTCGCAACTTACTACGAGGATGCGCTGAAGGGTCATCGTTGGCTGATTACGCGAAAACGACTCTGTTAACCAGTGAACCGAAGAGTAACCTAGAGGAAAAAGAGAGAGAGAGAGAGAGAGAGAGAGAGAGAAAGAGAAAGAGAGAGAGAGAGAGAGAGAGAGAGAGAAAGAGAGAGAAACTCGTCGATCGACGTGGCACGCGTGGTGGGGTTCGGGGTCAGTCTTCTCGAGATACACCGTCCGCCTTGAGCCACGAGGGTAAGACCTCGGTGCCCTGCCGCGGTCCGGGTCCCCCGATTAAGAGGTTTCTTCCTTATAGTCGTGCGCTTGCCGCTCAGCCGGGAGGATTCTTTCTCTCTCTTTCTCTCTTTTTTCTCTCTTTCTCTCTGTCTCTTTCTCTCGCTCTCTCTCTCTCTCCTCCCTCTCAGTCCTCTGCCTTTCCCTCGATCTCTTATTCCTCCTCTTCCAGACAGCGTGTCTGCGAAACTCGAGATACGAGCCGGCGCTACGTTTCAACTGGACAACGGTCATCGCGTGGGTGATCGTTCTATACTCTCTCTCTCTCTCTCTCTCTCTCTCTCTCTCTCTCTCTCTCTCTCTTTCTGTGTGTCTCTCTGTTTCTGTCTCTGTCTCTGTCTCTCTTTTTCATTTTCGTTTTCTCTTATTAGTAGTTACTGGCGAACGTAAATACTTCCGATGACCTTCGCCGGTTACGAATAAGAGAATGATAGGTCGAGAGATTCATCGTGATTTATTCTGATATGTCATTATGAATTCTTTTATTACTGTCTTATTCAACATATTCTAGGATTTTCAATACTTTCTTTATCAATCAAAGAATGATAGTTGGTATATATATATATATATATATAAATATAAATATATATGTATGTATTTATATATGATGTAGGTCATTATGTCAATAAAACCATTTTCTATATATTTCCAACTACAATCATCGACTTTGATTGAATCGAATCAATTATTCCTTAGTTTCTAATCAAACAAAACATTTCAATCAAATATAGGACATTCGGCTAAAGATCAAGGTTAAATATGATACGATACAAATGAATGACCAATTTACATGCGACATTGTATTCATAGTTATTATCATCATCATCATCATTATTATTATTATTATTATTATTGTTGTTGTTGTTGTTGTTACTATTATAACATTTAATTTGAATTCGTCCAGATGTTACTTGTAGGGTATCTAGGTTCACATATACCTGGGTCCTTAGTTTAAAGGATCTTCTAAACTTCACCTATAGTTTTCTTCCTCCTTTCTATTACAACTTTCTTCTCTTTACTACTTCGTAGGGACCGAAACGTGGAACAACGGGATGGGTATCCATGGACTTGGAGAGGCTGGCCTGGCTTCGGAGATAGATGGCAGTTTCGTGGTACGCGCCCACATAGCAGCAATGTAAGTCATGCTTCTTTATGGGCCGGCCCGTGACCCCGCTACTTGTAAACCGACTAAAGATTCAGAAATAACCGTGCTGTGCTTCGACTCGCTCTCGCTCGTCTCCCTTCGCCCTTTTCTTTCGTCCCTTCGTCCTCCCTACCTTTTCTTTTTTTCTTCTTCTTCTTCTTCTTCTTCTACCTTCTACCATCTCCTCTTCTCCCTCTCTTTCTCTCGCTCTCTCTCTCTCTCTTACTTAGTTCGACCCTATATCGGCGAGCGAGTGACCGTGGTTGTAATTTATCCACCGTAATACGATCGAGACGACGGAATTGCGAGGAGTCACCGCGACTATCCTACAAACGGGACGCCATTGGTGGTCGTTGTTCGTGAAAAGGTACCGGCTTAGGTTCCACCGTTCGAAGACTTACGATCGCTATTTTCGAGAGGTGGTGCCAACGGAAATCATAACGGAAAAAATATTATTGCAGGTAAATCAAGTTACTTGCTTTCTATTCCTGAATTTTAATACAAGAAATAATTTAACGTTTGGTCCCTCTTTCTTTCTATCTCTCTTTCTCTCTCTTTCTCTCTCTTTCTCTCTCTTTTTCTTTTCCTTCTTTCTTCCTCTCCCTTCTTTATGATACGGATTAGATTTTCAAATCGATGATCATGATTTTATCGATTCTATTAAATTATTATTCTAAATTATTTCATTTGAAATAACTCGTTAGAATTTTATAAATATATTTCCTCGATAAAAAAAAAAAAAAAGAAAAAAAAACAAAGAAAAAAAATAAAATCGCGTTGAATACGAATGAATAATGATATCACGTTTATTTATTCGTAATAAATGTTTCAAATTACTCATGTAATATTTTAGGATAAAGAGAATAATTGTTTCTTTCTTCTTTCTCCTTTTGTTTGTTTGTTTTTTTCTTTTTTTTTTTTTTTTTATTTTTTTTATTTTAATACCTCACAATTTTCTATTGAAGCAGATGATCCATGACCAATGATGTCATAAGAACGTGGATAAAGACAATCGTAATTTCAATATCAATATATAATAAACGTTTCTAATTAATTTCATCGATTCATTAGAATATAATCATAAAAAATCAATTGAATAATTATTGTACAATATATGATTATTTGTTATCCAAATAGATAATTGATTAACAAATATAATTTGCTTTTATTTCATGTGAACTAACATGAATGTTCTTTTTATTTCGTATGAAATCAAAACTAAACGCATGAGTTCAATCGATCATTATACTCTCTTTCTCCATTTAACATACTACGTGAAATAGATCGAAAAAGGATTGTCTGCCGACGGCGATCAAAGTTAGTACAATAGACTTATTATATACTATAGCATATAGGAGGGCCAATTCAAAGCATCTGTCGATAGTATTCGATAGCTCTTTCGTAGAGAATCATACGCTCGTTTTGCCATTTCCACACTCTATGGGAATAACATTAGAGTCTTCTAGTTGATATCGTCGTACCGCGTGAAACCGACATAGGCACCACGATCAATCATATCTTTCGCAGAGCGTAGTACCGTACCAAGAGAAGGATATCGTGACTATTCAGCGTTTATTTATCGCGTCATTTCTACTTCCCAGTCGATCTCTCCTCGGACGTTTCGTTCATTCGTTCCTTCGTTGCTGTCGTTACTCTAACATTACTTTCGTACGATAGTTTATGAAACTGTCTTTCAATATTTGCTTATCGTCGATCGATAAAATTTAAATGCAAATATTTCATGATTATTATATTTCATTTTTCTTTTTTTTTCTTTTTTCTCTCGTCCAAACAAATTAATTAATTCCATGGATGAACTGAGTTATTGAATATTAAAAAAAAAAAAAGAAAAAGAAAAAGAAAAAGAAAAAGAAAAAGAAAAAGAAAAAGAAAAAGAAAAAGAAAAAGAAAAAGAAAAAGAAAACGAAGTTATATCTTTATCTTACATTTATTTTCAATTATTATATAATAATTTAATTATAATATATTTTTACATTAGTATTGACAATAGTTTTTAGATCGCAGAAAAATACACGAAGGTGTTTCTTTTCTCTCTCAATTCTTTTTTTTTTTTTTCTTTTTCTTTTTCTTATCGATTAGTACCGTATTTTTTTCTTTCTGTCTTTTACGAGCGGCAAAGTGCTGCTACGCTGTATAGTTAGCTAACGTCGATATAGATTTCGTGACATGAGTGTCATTTAGCAGCTCTTCTGGATATCAGAAAGGCCAGGTGAGAGGCGTCAAAGGGTCTCTCATTGTCCTAATCTGCTACCATCAGCAGGTTCTCCTCTCTCTCTCTCTCTCTCTCTCTCTCTCTCTTTCTTTCTCTCTCTCTATTATCGATGAATCGAACGGTGTCGAATATCGTATAGCACGTGCACCCTATTCTGATTGTTCTCTTTCTTTTTTGTCTTTTCCTTCTTCTTTTTTTCCTCTTTTTTTTTTTGAAATTTTCAATCTGAATAACGACGCATTGATCGGAATAAAATCAAATAATGGCTCCTAACATGTCCGGAAATATATATATATATATATATGTGTGTGTGTGTATACATATAAATGTACGTATATTTCGAAAAAAATATAATACATATAGGCATACATACATATTTCTTGATTACATATATATATATATATATATATATATATATATATGCGTATTTAAAAAGTACGAGTAATATCAATGATAAGGATTCGTTGATAGAATCTATGAACGGGGCTTAATAAAACGGATATTACGTTCATTCGATGGGCTTCATAACGATGTGCCACCGAATTGTAATCATTTGGCGACCGGATGGGACGTCGTTCGAAAGGCATTGACCATTTCAACGATTATGCGGAACATGCTGAGAGTTAAATGTCAATGCATACATATTCCCATTATTTCTCCAATACGTAGTAAGTATTAAAATCAATGACGTACGATAACGTTTATTTCGATTTTTGTGTCTCGAACGTGCCGGACACGTTTATGCTAATTTCGAGTACCTCGCTTAACACGTACTACGAATTTTACATAAATCCATATATATATATATATATATATATATAAGTATACACGTACACACGCACACACATACATATATATACATATGTTAATGTTACCGAGGATTCTTTTTGTAATAATTTTTAATTTCATAACTGATACAAAAGAATTATTCACCTTCATTCTATTTCTATTTTATTATATCTATTATTTTATACATTATATCTATTATTATATTATTAATTTTATTATATTTATAATTTAATTATATTTTATTATTATATCGATTAAGAACCGAGTAAAATATATCGTATATATTTTTAATTGATTTTAATTAAAACGTTGAAAAATAATGTCGATATCAATATTTAATGGGAAACGTTGTTAAACATCTTCTTTTTTTTTTATTCTTCTTCTTCTTCTTCTTCTTTTTTCTTTTTCTACATCATATACGGGCAACATCCACACTGCGTAGAATTGTAATTCGATATTCGTGATTACGTCGTCGAGTGGGCTGGCACGTCCTCGGCATTCCTAAGGACGAGTCTCTCAGAGTTATCTCGTCGTTTTTTCTACTACGGATCGTCGCCGTTGTTGCGCGCAACAATGAGAGCGGTGTTTAGCCGATAATGCTATAGGAAGGCCGACTCGAGTCGCAGCGAACATTAATGAAATAGCCGGTTCTTTCAGTCGAGATCCACTACGGGAACACGTACGGCTGGTAATCGTTGGCTGTGCTTTCTCCCTTTATCTCTCTCTTTCTCTCTCTTTTTCTCTCTTTCTCTCATTCTCTTTCTCTCTCTCTCTCTCTTTGTTTTTTTCTTTTACGAATGAGAACGAGTCACGTCGAGATGTCGAGAGTCGATTATGCAACCTTTCAAAGATACGAGTTTTTTCAAGTTAATTTGAAAAAAAAAGAAAAAAAAAAAGCAAAGAAAGCAAGAATCTCCCAGCGTGATTATGTTTAATCAATAAAGAAAAAGATTTATCTCATAAAAGGTTCATTTCTATATCCGATCGTTCGTACTTTTCTAATTCGAAACTGTGCCTAATGGATCTGTGATCGAAATCAATAATATTATATATATATATATATATATATTATTGATATCCATGAAATATCCATTTTGGTTAAATCATTATGTAAGCATCGATAGTATTCTTTTTTGTTTTTTTTTTTTCTTTCTCTTCGATTTAATTTCAATTAGATACGAAATGATGGTATTTTAATTTCAAACGATATATAAGCGATTTAATAATTTTGTCGTACTTTCGATCTATCGTAATGTTTGCCAGCTAAACAATAATATACAATGATAAATACGAAACTAAGGATAGATAATATATATTTCTCTTTTCAAGGCTATTCACACCTCGGATCGTTATGTTAATTACTTAACACAATCGGATCGGCAGTTTCATCGACACCTCGTAATTTGCGATCACACGAGTTACATCGTTCTTTCTAAGAGAACGTGTGGGCAGAAAAGGAAGGACCGAGTACAATGCGCATTATTCTGCATCGAGATGAAAGCATCAAAAGAAAAAAAGAAAATCTTCGATGGAGAGTACAAGTATATAGAGGATAGTGCTGGCATTGATACGGTCTATCGGTTGTCTTTCACGTTTCAAATGCTTTTTCATCGAATGCCGGCTACCGCGGAAAATAAAACAAAACAAAACGAGAAAAAAGAGACAAAAAAAAAAAATATATATATATATATATATAAAATATAAAATAAAAAGGAAGAATGAAAGTAAAAAACGAAGAAGAAGAAGAGGGGCGGGGGTGGGGGAGGGCGGAGAAAAGAAAGAAAAAAAAAAAGAGAAAAAAAAAATGCGAAGACGACAGAAGTATAAAAATCGTAGATATTTCGACGTTGGATACGCTTACTTTCAAGAACTTCGTATCTACGAGAAGAATCGATCTTATCCCGAAAGAGTTCGAGACCATTCAAAGAGGAACAAGAGAAAGAGAAAGAGAAGAAAAAAAGAGAGACAA